GTCTGGAGCGCTTTAAATGGTCTCAGAAGAAATGTTTCCAAGCCTTTTTCAATATTGACCCATCAGAGAGCGATATATCCATCCTGCATCCAAAGTAAAACAATAAAAATAAAGAGTTGGCTTTGGAAGCGTGTCTGTAACGAGATGAAAAGAGGGATAATGTGAGTTTTATACTTAGGAGTTGACCCCTGTTAGGAGTTGGCCAAGCATCCTGCCTTTGGAAAAACTAAACAACACTCTCGCCAGACGGTGAACTGAGGGGCAATGAATGAGAGCAAGTGGTGGGGGAGAGGGGCAAAGTCAAATAAACCTACAGTATAACACATGCACCATTTGCATGGGCTCATTTGTACTAACTACCTACACTTACAAATATTTACACTGTACAGCAGTTTGGATAAGCCCTTGTTTCAGTTCTGCTTATTCCATTCAGTCTCTGTGTTGTTGTTTTTTTTTTTTTTTTTGCATAACAAGGCACTGGTCAGTGTGAAAGTTATACACATTCCTTGGAGACATGGGAAAAACTATTTCTTCATAAACAGAGGAAAAGCATAAGATGTCACGTCATAAACCAGTGATGGCACCGTAGCTGCTGTGTGAGCTTCAGTGGTGGTTTCTGTTTTCTGCTTTTACATTTTGGTTTTATTTAAAAACAAAAGATGAATTAAATAATAATAATAATAAAAAATAATATATATGTGTTTCTGAGAAACCACAAGAAAATATAAACTAATAATATTAAGCGTAAAAGTATTATTTTGAACTAGTTGTGGCTCCAGTTCATAGGTCTCTGTATGATGTATGTTTCATCATCATGTTCCAATCTGTTAACTAGTGTATATGAACTTCACACACACTGACTGTAGCGTCAAAGATGACAAATTAGAAGATTTACAGATGGCCAACCAAATAAGTTACTGCTACCAAGGAATGAAGGAGGTCGACTTCCACAAAATTATAATTCGATGAAACAACCACTGCCAGAACATTCACTCTAACCAGGAAAGCAACGATGGAGTGTATGGAAAAAGTCAAAGCAAAACGAGAGGAAATTGAATATTCTGTCTCATAAGCGTGCCGTAGAGGTTTCTGGGATCATTGGTGAGTGATCACAACGTTAAGATCTTCTGAGGCTGCAGGATCTTTAAAGAGTGAGAAAGTGCTGACAGAGTCAGTGAGGGGTTTGCCAAGCCCCTGTTGTATGGTCTCCCTGTCCGTCTCTGCTTGTTGTCGCCAGCTAATGTGGAAAATATGCCACTGGTCCAGACATAGTTGTGAGAAAATTAAAGTGAGAGACAGATAAAGAGAGACATGCAAAAAATAAAATAAAATAAAACAATGACAGAGAGCAGTAAGAATTTCATACAAACAATTTTTCATTTTTTTCTTCACTGTTTTGCTGTAGTTACTCAGAGCTAGAGGCCAAAGTTAAGTCCTCTACATCTGTCTGTCTATCTATCTGTCTATCTATCTATCTTTCTATCTTTCTCTCCCTCTCTTCAACGCTGCCTATTGTGCTGACAATGCTTTGAAGTGAAGCCATGGATGTTTTCACTGGATCGCTCAGCAACAATATGGGAATAATGTCCAAAACAAACAAAGCAAAGAGATTATTATGTCAGTAATACTATGTATTATTATGTCAGTAAACATCCCAGACAGTGTAGTCTCTTAACAGTTTCAGGTCTTTGTTAAAGAGATGGGTTTTCTGAATAATCCTGCAGAGAAATTTGAGATTACAACCAGATCATCCAGCTGGTGACACCGAGGAGAAGGTTTCACATTTCACACAGTTTATGGTTCATGCAGATTTACTAACTGCTCACTGATGTCCATGTACTCTAGCGTACTTCATATACTTGTCCATCCCACTTTGGCCAGTTGACTATAAACAGTCAAAAGATTAGAAAAATGTATGTCTTTTACAGCCCCGTCGTCTCTCTCTCTCTCTCTCTGTCTCTCTCTCTCTCTTCATCTCATTGAATGTTATGATCCAGGAAATGATCAAGTCCAAGGCCTGGATTTTGTTTCTGTATCCAGTCATGGAAACTCTTTATTCATAAATATCAACAACACAGTTAGAAGGCAGAATAGTAAATACTGTGTGTGTTGGTACATATAACTAGTTCAGCCATACAGTGACATTCCTAATGTGTGTGTGTGTGTGTGAAGGTGTTTGAATCCCAGAAAAGTAACAGCATAAGTGGGCGTTGACTTTACCTTGAGAATGACTGGCATTCTCTTTCATTTCCTGCCAGCACAGAAAAGACAAACCCACACACATGCAAAACCACATACAAGAGTGGGCCAAGGAGAAGAGCTGCAGTGAATAACTGACAACAGCAATTCACAAGTTACTGCATTTAGAAGCAACATGTTAGAAATGAAAAATTATATTTTTTTTACCATTATTACTGTAGTAGAAATCAGCCTTCAAAAAAGTCTACATTGAAAGAATTGTCATTTTATACCAACAAAACAAGAATGACAAAAAAAGTAAAATATTTGGATTAGACTACTAGAGGTTTTAAATACTGTTGTTTACTCTTCCAGGATTAAATGACTAGTAAAATGCTGAGCTGAATATTTATGGTGAGACTAAGTTGTGACTCGTATGTCTCAGATGTGACATCACTCAAAAGTCAAATGTAAATATTCACTTTGCCTCATACCACAAAAGGTACTGATCACTAGGTTGCTAAAGCTGAGTCAGGTATTCTGCCCCCTAGTGGCCTGAATAAAAGCCCAGGAATCAAGTGACCCTTACAGCTCAGTCTCATTGGAATGCATTGGGATCAGTTAGTTACCAAGTTAACGCCAGAAAAAAAAAATCTTAATTTCTCACCTTCACAAAATGGAAAATATTGGATTGGAAAAAGTCAAGGTGATGCTAAAGTGAAGTCCTGAAACTTCAACATGTTCTGGGCAATAAAGAAACAGTGGGGCATGTGACGCTTAGTGATGCATGAGCAGGCAGTTTGGCAGGTGGTGTGTGTGTGTGCCTATGGTTGTGGGTGTGGGTGTCTGTGTGGTGTCTGTGTACTCTGGTATAGCTATGCTTGTGGGGGCATTGTTTGGAGCATGTTTTGGGGGACACCTTATTTATCTTTATTTGCGGAGAAAATTCTGGGGTTCAAGATTTAGTAACATTTTGGATTAGACATATATTTGTAAAAGCTGAGGTTAGGGGAAGGAACTAGGAACCTCTCTATTTAACTACATAATATATGTACTGTATATATGTGTGTGTAAGTGTGTGTGTGTGTTTACGGTGGTCCATCTGACATCCTCAGAGAGTGACAGTCCACACACAAAATATTGAAACTCCACACGAGTTTCAATATTCTCTACGGTATAAAACAGATTCCCCATCATTGAGGTGGGATTTGCCAGGGTTACTGCACCATCGTGCCAGACGCTGAAATACGGAGCATAAAGAAGCAGAGAGAATCATAAATCCTCGCACCTAAAGATACTATAATAGAAATGAGGAGAGGGTGGGAACCTGCCTGGAAACTATTAAATCTATATGAAAAGGCCCTGACATTTATGAGCAAATACGACTTTGAACAGCACAGTGGAGGCTTCTGTGCACCAGCAGCTCCATCAACTGCAGACTCTTTGTAGTACCTCGGTGGCAGTACTAAGGAGTTCACACTTTAATGCAGATCCAGTCACCCACTCACCTTGAAGATTGTGTAACACACTTTGATACTCTCACAGATCCAGTGACCTAAGAGCATGTGTGGATACACGTGTACACACACAAAGGTACAGGGCTATTCCTGCCATCAGCCAGTGAAACAGACGGATGCTGCCAAATGTTTTTGGATCTGAAAACTCAGGCCAACTGTCTTTTCCAGATTCTCCCATTTTCTCTCCCTCTCTCTCCTTTTTCTCTCTCCCTCCTGCCTGAGAAGAACTGCTGTTGATGCACTGAAACACATGTGATCAAAAAAATGTATCATCTCAGCAAAAAAGCGTGCATTTCGGAGCATTCTTTTTGTGTTTTGCCCCTGATATCCTAGCCTCGCTCTTACGTTCCTATTGCTCCTTTCGTTTTCAGTTTGGATTTGTTTTGTTTTGTTTATCTTTGGTAGACTTTTTTTTGCTTTTGGTGACTCTGTCACACAGGGAACCTGAGGTCTTGTGCTCACATCTACCTCTTTTCGTTGTTTGCGATGGAGGGATGTCGTTACAATGGAATGCTGCATCGCCTGCCAGAGGCGTCACAGTGGATGGACAGAGTGAGAGAGGAGAGGAGAGGAGAGGAGAGGAGGGGAGAGGAGGGGGGAAGGGGAGAGAGGAGGAGCGAAGAAAGAGGGACATGAGAGGAGAGGAGAAGAGAGGAGAGGAGAGGAGAGGAGAGGAGAGGAGAGGAGAGGAGAGGAGAGGAGAAGAGAAAAGAGAGGAAGAGGAAAAAATGAGAGGACCATGTGTCCATTTCATTTTTCTTCCTACATTCCAATCACTAATCCTTCCTCAGAAAAACCTGTCGAAGTGAAAAACTAAACCTACGATTGTGACGACTCATATGTGTCCAACATTTACAGCTCCAAACCTGAGGTCCTTCCGACACGGGATTTAACAATTCTGTTACGCAGCCAAACTAGTGCATATCCAGACCACACCACACTGCCCCACCTCAGCACTCACTCCAGATACACAGCACGCCCACTTCAGCATCATCAGCAAATATCTCACATGTGTGGGTATGGATGTATCAACAACATCTTTGTCCAAAAAGAATCAATATAAACTGAACTGCTTTTACTCTGATATCAATTTTAAGGACAGAGACACGTCTTTGGCAAAGCAGATGAAAAGAAGACTTGATCTGCAAGACTCTACTCACAGTAGACTTAGAAGAGCTGTACAAGGTCCATGACTCAGTAAAAACACTGATGTTTGTTCTTTGTATTTCCTTGTCTTCTGGTAACTCTAACTCTATTGCTGTAAAAGATGACATGACACAGGGAGGCTAAAGAGGGTGACCTTACCTTTCTCTCTTTACAGTGTCGAGGGGCAGAGGAATGCACTCAGTGAGGGAAGCTGTAGGTGTGAGCTGCAGGTGGGTCTCTCTTCTACCTCCCTCCTGGCTTCAGCCACGCATGTCTCCCATAGGATGCGATGGCATCAGACATTCGGTGAACATTCAGCCAAAAAAAGAGGAGTGGTGTCCTCCAAGGCAAAGAGCTGGCACCCCGAAACGGTCCAGTGCTGCTCACAAGTGCAGAGAAGAAAAAATAAATAAACAAACAAAAAATTGTGTTAGACTGGGTTATTAAAAAAAAAAAAAACTTTCTAAATTGTCTGTTCAACTCTTATTTTTCTGCCAACACCAAAAAGTAAAAAAAAAGTCCATGTACTTTTTGGCAGAGATGTTGAAAGTCAAGCTGGAAATCGTAGAAGAGGGGAAAAAATCCTCTCTGTGCTGCCTTCAAGCTGTCCGGACGCAGGTCTGAGGAGCACCTTCCACAATCTGTGTGCTCTCGCTCTCCAGGGCAGAAAGTAGGAGGGAAGGAGCAAAGGAGCAGGACAGAGAGGAAGGGAGTGAGTAGCAGTGGAGTGAGTGAGTGAGTCAGTCAAGTCAGTCAGGCAGGCAGGCAGGCAGGCAGGCAGGCAGGCAGGCAGCGAGGATGTGTCAGTGTGTGTCCAAGCAGGCTGCACTCCCACTTCCAGAAACTTATAACCCTGGGCTGTGCACCTTGCTGCTCCAATCTCCCTGGCCTCACTCACCAGTTCCACACACACAGGCTAATTTTGGAAAAGACAGACAGGATTGTTCATTGGCTTGACCCCCTTCATACAAAAAGCAAGTGTCTGTGGCTGGCTGCACGAAGGGGAGTGTGCAGGAAGGGGTGGGGTAAGAAGCCGCTCACGGAGCGGTGGGGTGGGATGAACGAAACTAGAAGTAAGGAGTCGGGTGGGAGGTGTCTCGCGGTCACTTTTTCTTCTCGCTGCGTTCCAAACACACCTTAATGAGCTGTGGTTAATTTTGCATTTCACATTGAAATGAATCAGAAACATTCAGGTGTAAAACAAAATCTCAAAGTTAGCATTTTTCTGCACTTTAACGACCTGCAGGATCTGAGAAAAGCCAAAAGATGCTGTGTGCTGTTGACTCAATTGGTGTCAAATACTAAGGTGTAACGGCAAATAAAGTTTGTTTATGTTGCCGTTACAGCCCGGCCATTCATTCCAAATGTTCTCTTAAATTATTAAATCCACCCTATATTTAAAATGTACTGAGGTTTTGCCTCAGGGGGGAAAGAAGTTAAATTATAATTCCTCAAAATGACTCACATTTGGCTGAAGCTCGTTCTTTTTCTTATCGGTCACCAGAAGGTTCTAGAGAGTTCAGCACAGGCTTAGTATTCATTGCTTAATTGGCAGGGTATCAGTCGGCCCTGTGCTCTACAAGTAGACCCCGAAGCGCCTCCTCTACTCTACCTGTGATTGGTCGAGTTGCAAGAAAGCCGTCCTAGACTTTCCCTAAAAGATCTGCTGGGACCGGGCCATTGGCTGAGTCAGACATCAGATAGAGACTGCTGTTCCGAGCAGATCATGAAACTCAACAACGGAAGGGAGAGAAGTAGAAATAATAACACTATTGTATTCACCATCATGTCGGGCCAGTTGGGACCGACTTAGTAAAAGGTCTGCTGTTTCTTCAACATCTACGGGTTCATTATTGCAATCACTGTGCACATTCCAGCTGGTTATCGAAAGCTGGCAGTGACGCTGTGTTTCTTTCATTCATGTTTTGCTCACAGAGACTAATAAACTTCCCTGGACCGCGCCATTACAAACAAAGTCGGCTTTTCTTTGCATGAGAACTATAGACTAGGTTTTAAAAGGAGCATAGTTGGCTAATGAGAGTCATTATAGTAGAATTTGTAATGCAGATGGAGTTTTTATGTGATTCCTGTTTTGAAAAAAAAATCACAATTTCCATCACTGTTAAGATAGCAGAGTTATTAAATACACATTGGTTTGATTGCCGTCCATTTACAGATGTCTTTACCGCAGCGGCGCAGGTCGTAAACCGGCTGATTGTTAATTGTTCCTCCAGAGTCAACATTTTTGCTCGTGCCTGGAGCCGGCTTAATTCAGTAATTTCTAAAATGAAAGCGACGGCCGTCATGTCTGTGAGAGAACCATGGTGCAGTCAAAGTTGACTGAATGGCTTTCTGAACATGGAAAGGGTGGAGTGACCAGATGCCCAGCTATGATGTCATCAATAGGAGCCCTGTGTGGGGGTCAGGGCTGCTATTCATTCGTACCCAGGTGTGTGTTTTCTGCGTGAGTATATGTGTGTGATGTATATCACACCCTTACCACAGAAGGCTATAGCCTTTCTGTAGCTCATTGAAGCAAACCATTGGTTGGTGTATGAGCACACACACATACAAACACATATACACACACACATACAAGCCCCCACCTCCTCCAGTCGTGGCTATGCTACAGTTCCACTGAAGAATTCTGCTCCTTGGCTCTTTGGAAAACCTCAGCTCACCCTCTCATATTCACACAACACGTATTCATTCTCACTCATCCCCTTATGGTCAGCACACACCCCTTGAAAAATCCCCAAACCATTCACTTCAGCATGGTACACCAGTCCACTCCCACTGGCTAGCTTTTACAAGGTGAAACATTCCCGAGAAGAGGGAAAAAACACCTGGTTGTCATAAGTTTCTCTTTTTTCACTTCCCTTTTCCCCTTCGCTCCATTCCATTAGTAAGAGTGAAAACAAACAGCAGCCATTTACCCACTGGAAAGACGTTGCATTGCATCACACAGACTTCACTCTTGAGCCTAAAAATAAGCTGTGAACAGCACATTGGCGTCACTGATACACCCCACCCTACACCACACCTAGCACCACCAATAGGCCTTTTATGTGTTAAGGTATAGGGGTCTGTTTGAGTGGGTATTTTCCTTGACTCAGGCTTTGTGAATAGCTGGAGTGTGTGGAAGGGTGGAGTTGTTTGTGTTTGTGAGCCTGATTGGAATCAACTTGACCTTGTTTATTCATGGCAGTCGCGGCTCTCTGAGTGAAGTGTTGTACAGTCTCCGATGGCTTCAGTTTTAATATGTTTTTATTTACTGATTTATTGCACACTTGGATTAACAGAAATATTTTAAAGCCCTTACTTTTAACTCCCAGTTTGAAAAGTCGGTTTAATGTAAGTAGGCATGGATATCAAATGACACAGGTCATAGTTAAAGGTTCACACAAGGACAAGAGACAGGTGTTTCTCTCTTCCTCCTTTCTCAACTTTCCTGCTCTTAATCTCTCTCTCTCTCTCTCCCTCATCTTTTTGATCAACTTCTTTTTCCCTTTGGGCAACTATTCAAAAGGGCAGTTTTCCCTCAGGTGATCTGCTCCACTTTTGTCTGTTCTGACCTTACAAAGGAATGTGTGGCATTTGCCAGGCCGTGCCTAGGCAGGATGGTGAAGACAAGGGAAGAAGGTGGCAAGAGAAAAAGGAAACTGCAAAACTGCAGAGCTGAATAAATGAGGGTCACGGCTAATGTGGAGTGTAGACGACAGAGACTGTAAAATAGAAAACACTGGGAAACAGGAGAGAAAAAATGAATGAATTTAAACAGGGAAACTTCTGCAAAAGGCATAAGGCTGTGTCACTACATGGACAATAGAGAAGCTAGCAGGTGAGACCCACCTGAGGCATACTGTTGCCAGGCTCGATTTCCCCTCAGGTAATCATTTGTTAATGATAAAGAGGGTGAAGCAAAGATAGAGGAGAGAAATAAGGACGGCAGTGTTTCCACCCTGGGAAAAAAGCCCTCCAGAGAGACTGGAGGAGAGTCGGGGCAATTCTTCTGTCAGCTGAAATGAGGAAAATGGAGATTGTGTGTGTGTGTGTGTGTGGGGGGGGGGGGGGGGGTTATACAGTAATCCTTTTCACTCGGTCTATCCTGCCAATGGTTCAAGGTCAAGGTCAAGGTCAGCTTTATTGTCAATACCTTCACATGTACAGAACATCCAGAGGTATCGAAATTACGTTCCTCGCCTTCCCGTGCGCTGACAGACATAGACAATACTGAACGACGAACATTAAGGTGCAATAACAATAAGGTGCATGTGTAGCTTTAAGGTGCTGTAAGGTTGCTCTCATGGTTAGATTGAGTGATGTCATACGCAGAAAATAAAACAAGTCTTAGTGGCAGCGGAACTATAATACTATATACAACATTTCAGTCCATCAGGGACTGATGCCATTGAGCACTGAGGTAAAGAGCTCAGTGATGATCACTGTAAATTGTCTCTCTTTACTGGTTTAAATCTGGTCTAAATAGATCAAACCAGAAGCATTGAGCAGGAAACTGTAGTTTAGTACTACTGTATTTATGACCTTTGAGTCTGAACATGAGCGTTTCCTCCTGAAAAACACTACGGGTCATTAATCATCAGTCAGGAATAAAATGACAGGTATGTGTGTGTGTGTGTGTGTGTGTGTGTGTGTGTGGACTTGGTAAATAATGTTGTACACACACAGGGTGAGCGACTACTGGAAAAAAGAGGCTGTGGATGTGCGAGCATGTGTTTTGGTGTTTGAGGTTAGCTCTGTGTTACAGTGGAATATTCCAATCAGCTGAGCTGGTGGTAAAATAAAAGACACTTGACGAGGGCTACAGGACCTTTGTGCAAACAGTGCTTTACTCTGCAGCAGTGATTTCCTCAGCCACTCGACCGAACCCACATCCTGCCAATCTTCTGTGAAAACACTTTCACAAACAGACGGTAAAAACAACACACTCGGAGATCTGTATTCCACTGATAACCTCATCACTGGAGCCGCCATACGACGACTCGATTCACGTTCACTTTTCCCCCTGTTGTTGACAGGTTTGTCTTGGCTAACTTATTAGACAGGGCCGTAGTTTAACAAAAACACAGAGAGCAGAAGGACGTTTGAGTAAATTCTCCGTCAGAACTGTTCATACGAGATCAAGCTCCCTCGCAGCAGCAGCAGCCGAGGAGAATACAGAAAGTGAGCTGCCACGGTTTGGAGATGTCAACAGTAGTCAGGAAGTTGGATTTGAGCAGCTGCATTTGAAAAAACGGAGTTTCAAAATCTCAAAAACGACTGTATAACGGCAACATAGTTGAGTAGAAACAGCCAGAGGAGGCTCCGAACTCTCAGCTTGATTATAAGCTGTCATTTACTCCGCTCTCACAACAAACTGTTTCCCATAATCGCGGCCTAATTATCTCGTTATCTTAATAAAATACAGTCCAGTTCTACTGTGCCAGCTGTTTTATTTTCATCTCCATTTATTATCACACGTGATTACAATCACAGCCCAATGTCAGCGCAGTTGACAGAATGTTTTCTTTTAATTACTCGAATAAGTCAGTGTGCGAATTGCAGTGGGAAGTGTAATGGATTTATTTCTCAACAAACCGATTATATGTCACTACATCTTTTTCTCATTAGCAGATAACTGATGGAAATATATTTGTACAGATGTTGGAGTTATTTTTTTGTTCCCAAGACCACGGAAAACACTGGAAGTGTGTTTGACTTTTGATAATCGTTTCTGCACACGAGGAAGTTGACTGATGTCATATTAGCAAGGTGCATTAGCCGGGATCGTGAAACAGCAGGCCCACAAAAAAAAAAAAAAAAAAAAAACTTACTATGTTTCTGTTGACAGTCAGTCAAGAGACTGTGAACAGTCAGAAAACAACTTGCAAACTGCAAGAGTAAGAAAGTTTTTATCATTAGATTTTTATATCTCTGACACACCAT